GTAAATAAGACGAGTACGAGTTTAAGTATAATAATTCTTGAGACCGAACAAGGACCAGTCTCATGGTATGCAGAATGCTCCTCCCGGAAATGACGCCGTACATAGAATTCTTTACATTTTAAAAGAGCAAATCGACCTTGTTCCTGGTTGTCTATTTCCCATGAAAAACGATATAAAAACGAACCCACATTAATTCCTGTATATCTTTTTAAAACAGTGGAAAAATGTACTTACTAACTTTATCTGTAAAAATAAATGATTGATTCTTTACAAAATTGCTAAAAAGTTCATTTCTGCTTTGTTATCTTCTAATAAAGATACTATTCATATTTGGTTAATGTCATGTTTTGTAAAACGCATAAAAATAAATTCAATGTAAATAATGCAAACACATTCAAAATTTAATTAATGCTTCGGCACTTGGGAAATACATGTTTAGAACGAAAACAATAAGAATCCATGCTCCCCAATTGCCTCTGGTTTGTTCTGTCGTCATCGATCAACACGTGGTCATAAGGAACATTTCCTTCATCGTATTGTCCCTGGTGATGAGAACTGGCGTATTTTGTATAGCAACATCTACAAGAATATTGTAATACTTTGCTAGAGGAAATAGGGTTTCAATTTCTAGTCTTAAGACAGAATTCGTTTTTATTGATATGACATCTTCTGTGCCCCCTGGCACCGCCACTGTTCCGATACGTTAATTGTTTGTTAACTCGAGTCTATTATTCAATTGTAATGTATGTGGCATCGGAATTATTCCTGGAAATGTTAAACAGCGACAGCATCGTGGGGATTTGTTGCAGACTTCAGAGATTAGATCATGCTCTAACTCGTGCAACAAGCAACGGGATTGCAAAGTGTGGTATCTTTTCCACAACCGAATCGTTGCTAGTCAGTTACATTGTTTAACACGGGCTGTGGGAGTATTCCCTGACAATATTTCGTAATATCCATAAGCTATGTTGAACTGGAAAATGAAACTTTCACAGTAAAAAAGAGATGTTCAACAATATATATCTATAATCTTGTTTCGACTCCGTCAACTCAGCCTTGTTTGAAGAAAAAATAATATCAATGTACCAGGAAAATTAGAAACATGTGCAAAATGTTGTGAAGTGAAGTTCCGTGATATCGAACGGAAAGAAATTGCGATTAATATGTCAAGTAACCTTGCTGGCAATCGGTATAAATATTTTAACATTCTCGATCGTAAACAAACAACTATGAACAAAATGCTTATAAAATACCTGGTTGTATTTAAACAACTGACCCTGCCTTTACAAACCTGTACTGTTACATCCTTAAAACTTGATTTCTTTCGAACATTCCTTTTAAAGTACACGCTCTCCATTCAACTTGAGTCCAGAGGAGAAATTTAACCTTAACAATCGCGAAACGTCAGTCATGTAAAAGAACATTAGCTAATCTGTTATTTGGAACGATTCTGAAACATCTTTCAGATGAATTATGTATTAGGTATACGCGTCAGACAGTTTCGTCTTTACTGCTGATATTTACAGCCGCCTATAAACGTGGTGTTGTAGCAGGTAATTAAAAAAATGGGGTCTCGCTGTAATCGAGTGCTGTCCGTTGCCAAATAGCAGAGAGCATGTAACAAATTTTTCGATACGTATTGCAGTGAATGTACATATGTATTGTTCGATTAACGGTACACCCAATCGACTTTTCAAAACAATAGAATCACTAGCACACGCCAACGCGATGTGTAGATAAATAGTATTAAAATTAGTTTGTCTTTGAACGGTATTTAAATTTCACATACACGATAAAAGATAAATTGGTCATAGTCGTCTGTAAAGGAATTTTGATTACTTATATTTCATTGTCTAATTCTATCCTTGCCCCCCTGAGAAATTTGCCCCCCTGAGAAATTTTCTGCGGACGCTCATGTATTTAACGCTCATTTATTAAGTCACAATTTTCTGTAGCCATAACACATAATTATTTATTTATTCTCTCACTTTTTGAAGTAGTAATCGTCGTGAAAACTGATTTTTTGACATCTTTTTCGCATTTTTCATACCTCGCCACTGATCATGCTAATATAACCTCAAACAGCAGCGCATTGTAACCGCAAGCACTAGCTGCATCATGCATTGTTGTCAAATCCCAACAGAAATTTAACAATGAAGACACACAAACACATTGTACCGAAAAATAAATACTTCACAGAAACCAACGAAATTAAGGTCGTCGACACTGAGATTCACAAGTCAAACAGTGCTTCAAACATAACAATAACGCTTTTTGTAAAAAACTTCAATCAGATATTGTGTCATCTGAAAAATTAATATATGTATATTAAAAGTAAATAATATATATTATAACGATTTGATAATTAAAAAAAATCGGACAGTTCTTGACCCAATTTGTTAATGTTACCACCTTAAGAATGCTAAACAGTGCCATCTAAATATTGGCATACCTTTTAATATGACAAACACGTTTAATAACAACGCCCAAGATCAGTTACTTATACATCTATAGAGAATTGTTCAAAATGTCGCTAATATACTTCTCTACATTTTCTAATTATTTAAATAATTCACACCTTAAGGCTCGCAGATCCTTTTCACAAATTATGAGCGTGATAATTTAGTTTAACAGTTCATTGATATTCAAAAATAGTTATGTACGTTTCACTATTTAATTAGCTATTCTTAACGGGCAATTTTTCTGCGGTCTAAAACTATTTTTTATTAGGGTAATTGTAAACACAGGATTTTTAAGCAACAATCCCCATTTTCATAATTACATCTTCATTAACTTTGACAACATTAACTAAATCAACTAGTGGTTTTAGATATAATTATTTTTAATAATTTTGGGGAAGTCTCTACAACCACAAATGAGGTCCGTCTGTCTTATCGGCACCGTTTACGGCTGGCGTTTTATACGGGGTGTTCTACAAGCTCTATAACAAACTTTGACAGATGGTGGCTGGGTTAATTTATAACATTTTTTCTTATATGAAGTTATGAGCAACGAATATAAGAAAAAATGTTTGAAATTACATCTGTCAAAGTTTGTCATAGAGCTTATAGAACACCCTGTAGATTATAGATAATAAATCGCACTTTTAGTAAGACAATGATAGAACAAGAAAACCCATCTAAACTATAAAAATGTTGAAATACAATGATTCCTTTAATTTTTCGGAGCTTAAACGGAGAACATGAGTATCCGTCAAAATGTACCTTTCCTGTTTGTCGAGAATTTTGCAAAAATACTCAATAAATCACGTATTAATAGTTGTGATTGTGTTTTTAGTATCTATACGTGATTTTCTGTATATTCAACATGCGTGCAAACAGGAAATGTAACGATAAACATAAGAAGTAAAAATATGCTATTTTTCCTTATTCTGACTGTACAGTCAACTTATAAACTGTCTTATATCCTGAAGAAAACTTGTATAACTGTATAACATACATATTTTAATTATTTATGTCCTTAAACAATTTTATTATATTGATAGTAAATGTTGGTTATGACATATCAAAAAACATTTACATTAAAATATATTATTGCTCGGCATGAACATATCCTTGTCAGGAAAGGATGAGGATAGGTTGTTAGTTTAGATTAGAAAAGTCATTAAATAAAAATAATCAACAATAAAATAATTCCGCACTGCTGCACTGCACTGCTAGGCGATTTGTCAACAACTGAAATTTATGGCCCAGTCGCCCAGTGCGGCTGTGTATGTGCGCCGTTTTCCCGCGCGCGCATTCCTCAACTAGACGTATACATTTCTACCACCTCCACGTTTAGTTGGCTAAATAAATATTGGAACAAGTTTTTGAAATATTTCAATGCCGAATTGCTGCGTAGCGACCGAGCCTGGTACATACTGCCTAGCTGTTTGGTCTACAATTGAGATCGGAAAGACTATACAGTGAAGAGATATTGTTTCTAACAGGATTAGATTTTCTAAAACACTCGTCAAAATTGCTATAAATCCACTGAAAATTACGCACACCATTTTATTGCATCATAAAATGTTAACGACAGATTCATTAAATCGTGCTGTGTCATTCTGATAAATCTCGTATCTAAAACACTTTTGTTACGTCGAGTTGATGCCCCGAACCATTCATAAGAATAATAAGGCGGTTTCAAATATTTTTTAAAATATTTAAGGAAAAAACTTTTATGTGATTTCTTCGCATTAAATTTTTATCTACAATAGAACGTCCATCTTTATCAATCCTGATAAAATATGTCAGATTAATATTACAAGGTATTAACTATGTAATTCAATAAAAATGTTTTCAAAAGGTTCATATAAAATAAATTTTATGTTTTATAAGTAGGTATTGTAAAATAAGTGTTAGCTTATTAAAATTGTTTAAAATTTTATTAACGATATCGTTTTATTATGTTGAATTAAATAGGTAATATTTTTTAAACCAATTATTAAGAATTTTTTGTTGAGTGATTTTATTTAATAATACGCATTTTCATGGCATACAAATAAATATTTTTATTTTCTGAATTTTCGTATGCGCCAAAATTTATCAACTGTACCTAGTAGGTATAATGTTTATATTAACTTTTCTTGAAGATAATATGACAATATAAACATGTTTTTTTTTTTTTCATTCATGAACCATAGTTATTATAATGTAACACAGAGAAACTGTAGAATTTATTCAAATTTATTTTATCGCATCATAAAGCCATAAAAATTGTTTGATATGTGACTTTAATTTTATTAAAGTTTGCGGTAATATTATCTCATAAATATACCAAAAACAGGTTTACTACATTTATTTCGTATGTAGATTTAGTATAAAGGAAGTTCCCCATGCATTTCACGACATGTTTTCGAAATCAAGTACCTACCGATGGATTTTATTTTTAACCCAGACAAAATAAAAATATATTAGCTAGGTGTTATTGATATCGAATTAAAGCAAATAAAACAGGTGTAAATAACGCAACAATACATGTGAATCAATGACACTTACCTAATTAAATTATAAAAAAACTAGTTCACTATTTGTCAGGAGGCACCGAAAATTTTCAAAATATTATCACATGAATGAAACGCAGGTTAGGTTTCGTTCGTAAAATAAATTACAGTGCACTACAGCGTAGTACACTCACTGACAGCTACTCTGAAACTAATGTTTGGGTTGCCTTGAATGCTTGATGCTTGTATATTTACTGCAAGTAGCAGAAATATAAAATAAATACCGGCGGATTGTAGGGGAATCGCCGCTTGACGTTGATCCTTTTTGATTAGATTGAATCCACGTTGTGCGGTGCGAGAATCCCGTTTTGGTTGTTTATAATGTTTTTCCCATAGTCATCCCAAGAAGTTACTCATGTTTGTTGTCGATAATTTTGTAGACCCATATATTCGTCGAAGCTTATCTTCACAGTGCTTCAAGGAAAGGGAGTACAAGATATAGTTATAAAAAATAATTCCATTTAAGGTTATAAAATTTCTATCAAATACCTAGGTAGTTTTTAAAAATCGTTTTTTTTTGTCAAAAGTTTTTTAATTTCATTTCAAGTAGCAACATTAATAACTAGAGTTCGGGGTTTTCGTCGGCTAATCATGGGCGTGTTCGTCCTAAACAAATAAATGAACAGGTAGGTATAAATAAAAATAAATAAATTTGTGTACTTTATCAGCAAAAATACCTACGCGAAGCCAATAACTGCTGTTATTACCGGTTTCGTACGATGCGTTGTAGCGAAAGGCCGACACGACGACTAAGATCATCCGACCGAGTCCCGAACTCTATAAATGATAACCATTCCAACCCTCAACACATTTCTAGTGGAGAATATTCATTAATTAAAACAAAAAATACTTAATTCTCTCCTAGATCCTTATTATAAAAAAATAGTAGCGTTTTCTACAAAAGGTCAATAATTGGTCATTGACGCCTATATAAATACACGATAATAAAAATAAATAAATAATATTTTCAGGAACATATATATTTGTATTTTTCTCCGAAAAGCAACGTTTATTATACAGGGTGTCCCAAAATGACTCGAACAGCCTGATAACTTTTCAGAGTTGAGCCTTTTGAAAAAAAAATTCAATCCAATTAAATATTGTGTACAATAGTCAAGTGTTGTTTTTTCAACTTTAAAAACGATAAAATATGTTTAAGAAATACAATGTGATAAGAAAGATTAAGCGCTTAAGCGATGTTTGCTACAGAAAGATTGCTACAGGGTGTCCCGAAATTAATGCAACAAAATTTGGTCATAGATTCTTAAAACAAATTTAGGGGGTCGTTTTTTTTTTTTTTTGCCTGTGGGGCCCTCTTTCGGAGCCCCCTGAAATCTGCCCCTAAAAATAGTCTTTATTATTATCTCAGAACCTTGTTGTACGAGAATCACTAAATTTGCTAGATTAATAATTTTTAGGAAATTTAAATATGCGATCTAATTCTGTCATTATATACGATATAACGACAGTTTGAACATAATTTCTCTAAAACTTACAATCGAAATTACTTGAAATTTTGAGTTATTATAAAAAATAATATACGTATATTTCTTTGATAGTATTATGATGTTTTGAGACAATTATTAATTAATTTACTAGATGTTGTGGGTGTCTGGACGTAGTTCGGTCCGCAGAGTAGTTGCTTCCTACAATATCATTAGTTATTAGTTAATAGCTAGACTTTGCAGTTGCTTCTTAGCAATCAAATTGGAATTTTAGGAAAATTTGTCGACTTAATATTAAAAAAAAGTATAAAAAATGTATTCACACTATTACATACAACTGAGCAACTCATTAAGCGCACTATTGTTTCATTTCACAGTCTATTGTAACCGAATAAGGAAGCAGTAATAAAACATTTTAATATTATGACTTGTATAACGTTAATTTTTCAATTACATAGATATTACTTTTCTTATTCCATTTTTTAATATAAAGTGTACATAATCGGTATGGTTTTATTTGTATTGTCTATGTTAGTAACAAGTAAAATCTTTAAAAATCCGATTATAATTCGGCTACACGTAGTAATCCTACAGAATCGCATTTTAAATGACACCGCGTATTAACTTTTACAGAAATTGTAGTATAATCTGACATTATTTGCTTTTGTGGACAACCTTCGTATATCTTAATCTAAAGATAATAAAATATTTACTTTTTATGTAGGCGCATTTATAATCATTCAATCATGTGCGACTGTTCAAATTTTATAGAAATAAATTCGTGTTTGAAAATAAACTGAAATTTTAAACATACATCAGACAAATGCAAATAAATATTATAGAATAATATATAATAGACATTTTTTATTTAAAATGTTATACAATGTGGTCGTCATTGCCACATTGTACTTCCTTAACCTTAGCTCGGAATCTTTAAGCAGGGGTGGCGGAGGGTTGATTTGGGGGGTTGAAAAGTTGTGAAAAATTGTATCATTGGGATTTCTGGCGAAAGTTGAAGTCCAACACAAAAGTATCCAATACAAAAGTTGTAGATCATGCAAAAATCTACAACTTTAGTAGATATCACTTTTTAAAATAACCTCAAAATTTCCGAGAAAAATACGAAATACAGTATTTTTACTGATTTTTCGTTTTTTATTTCTCATTTCCGCAAAAATAATTTAATTTTGACGAAACTTGGTGAAAGTGTACCTTTTTGCGTCTTAAGTAACCACAATTGTTTTTAGATAAAAAAATCGAGATGTTTCCGAGATATTCATTTTTTCCGGTCTGAAACACTTTTTCTTCAAAGAAAAATTCTACTTAGAAAAATCATCGTACAGAGTTCTGCCGGTGATATTTTTTTTTGTTTTGGCATATACTGTTTGGTGAAATAAAAAAATCTGTAATCGCAATTCAAAAACATGCTCAAAAATGCAAAAAAAAATAAAAAATTACTTGCAAAAATGAACAGTACCTAATTGTCGATAATTTGTTTAAATTAAAAACATTCACAAACTGATTACACCATTCAATTGTACGGAAAAAGTACAAAAAAGACTCATTGTCTGACTCAAAACTTTATTTTTGTACAGTATTGCTATAAACATAAGTCGAATAGTGAATAAATAAAATAAATAATAATTTTTTTTCCGTAGGATCTATTAGTGTACATTTTTTTTTAATTTTGATGAATTCATAGATATACAGTGTGTCCAAGATAAGGATGAGATAGGATTTAAAATTCCGGGTAGTTCCGAAGATATCCGGAAAAACCCGAAATTTTGCAAAATTGTTTAATTTTTTTCTGACTTTATTTGAAAACGAATTTTAAAATAAATTACATACTTACAATACCACCTTTTTCGCTCTATACAATGGCGGCAACATTTTTGCAATCCGACGTTTCGTCTTCGAGGGGCCATCATCGGGTTAATTTTTTTAAATACGTCGCTGCTATTTTTATGACAAAATCTAAAATAATTTTTAATTCTGAATTAGAGGATATTACTATTGTAATCCCTTAAAATGTTTTTAGCTTGTTTTATAATTTAAAATTTTTCCTGCGTACGGCTCTGAACGCTTTCAAAATATCTATTGGATGAAGTCATAACAGTATAAAAGTCAATACCGCACAAAATATCCAAAAAATTTTTTTACTACTATTAGGTACAACTTTTTAAATTATTGATTAAAAAAATTGTTGGATATTTTGTGCTGTATTGACTTTTATACTGTTATGACTTCCTCCAATAGATATTGTGAAAGCGTTCAGAGCCGTACTCAGGAAAAATTTTAAATTATAGCTAAATATCTTTTTAAGCGATTACAATAGTAATATTTAATTCAGAATTAAAAATGACTAGATTTTGTCATAAAAATAGCTGATGATGGCCCCTCGAAGACGAAACGTCGGATTACAAAAATGTTGACGCCATTGGATAGAGCGAAAAAAGTGGCAATGTAAATATACAATTTATTTTAAAATTAGTTTCCAAATAAAGCCAGAAAAAATTAAACAATTTTGCAAAATTTCGGGTTTTCGGATTTCGCGTCAACAGTAGACATTGCAGTTAATACTTTGTATTGCTGAAATCTCAAATCATACAGACATAATTTATTATTTTTGCATTTGTAATTCGATTTAGATGTTTATAGTTATACTGTACAAAAATAAAGTTTTCGTTCAAACAATGAGTTTTTTTTTTTTAATTTTTTTTTTGGTAGAATTGAATGGTGTAAGTAGTTTTTGAATGTTTTTTAATTTAAATAAATTATCAACAATTACTGAAAAATTCATTGTTGCGTCATTTTTTATTTTTTTTTTGCATTTTTGAGCATGTTTTTGAACTGTGAATACAGGTTTTTTTATTTCACCAAAAAGTATACGTCAAAACGAAAAATATTATTACCGGCAGAACTCTGTACGATGATTTTTCTAAGTAGGATAAGTAGAATAATACTAAGTATTTTTCTAGTAGTGGTTCTTTGAAAAAAAGTGTTTCAGGCCGGAAAAAATGAATATCTCGGAAACTTCTTGATTTTTTTTAACTAAAAAAATTTGTGGTTATTTAAGACACAGGTAGGAAAGGTATGCTTTCACCAAGTTTCGTTAAAGTTATTTTTTTTGCGGAAATGAGAAATAAAAAACGAAAAATCAGAAAAAAACCTGTTTTTCGCATTTTTCTCGGAAATTTTGAGGTTATCATAAAAAGTAACCTCTACAAAAGTTGTAGATTTTTGCATGATTTACAATTTTTGTATTGGATACTTTTTTATTAGAAGTCAACTTTAGCCAAAAATACCAATGATACAATTTTTCACAACTTTTCAACCCCCCAAATCAACACTCCACCACCCCTATTTTTTTAGATTTATTATAAGTTCTTTTAACATTTCCACTTAAAAAAGTTCAGGTAACAATTTTTTTTCTCTAAGTGCAATTTGGTTGGACTAATTATAAATTCTTGTATAAATACAAAACTAAAGTGACAAGACATTTGAAGAGCCATTTCTCGTCCAGCGCTTAAGACTGTATTTTTCTATGAACTTACAGACACCTTTCTTTCAAGCAATATTCCATTAAACAAACCTGAGAACCCCAAGTTCCGTAATTCCGTAAATTGAAATCACACGCTATACTAATAAATAAATTATTCGTTTTTGATTATAGCATTTTTATTTTTTCTACGGGATATGAAATTCAATTCAAGATCAACCGCGGTAATTGTTACAGATACCTTGAATAAAAATCGTTATCTCTGGAATTGGGAGAACATGAAGGTTATCTAAAAAACCAATATTATTTGTATTGTTCTGTCTAATTAGCTCATGAGTTATCAGTATTAATACATCATTGCTTTGTTTTGTCATTTACAAATCGATTTAGTAGGATTATGTATCCATATATGTCTGGCTGTGTTGGATTTCACAAAACGATTTAATTTACTACCTACGCAATGAAAATAAAAACTGATTGCGCTATCAGATTTTGGCAGCCGTAGGGGGTAATTTAGATAATTGAAGACACATTCTTATTAATGACAAATAAATATTTCTGCTGCTGTGATTTTCAAATCAATAATTACTTTTTTCGCCTTTAAATACCATCTTAAAAATAATAATTCAACTCTATCGTCTTCAAAAGTTTTTGACCCACAAAATAAAATAAAATTAATTTCGAAAATCGAAAGATTTCTTTGTTCCGAATGGAAAGTATGGCAAATTTTGAAAATCGGAACTGGAAATACGACAGTGCCTATTAATCACCTTCATTATTAGTTGGTTACCCTCTCGAATACAATAATTTTTTAAGAAATATTTCAGCTCAGGCTTTTTAGTTATTTTCATTTCCAATTTGCGTTTTAGTTGAATTAATAGGAAGATATAATTCTGCAAAAAGTAACCGTAACAATGTTTCACGTTCTTATGTAGCTACAGAATTTATTACAAGAATTATTATTATATTCAACTTAGTTCAGTGTTCAGTGTGAATACTACTCTAAACTTTACTTGCATATGAGCTTATTTGAACATGAATGTTTTCAAATACGCCAATTTGAAGTACATGAAATTCTGCATACAAGCTAAATCAACTTCAGGATGTAGGCAACCAGTATTATTCACATACTACATTTTATGGAAAGTCTATTCTTTAAATGAATGTGACATTTGATCCGCTATTAAGCAGCATTATTAGCAAACATATTTTTTACATTCTACTTTTTTATACTCAAAGAAAGTCTTAAAATGATCTTCACCAAATCAATTGAACTTGAGAAACTCAAACTCATTGGTTTTTATGAAATACAACAGATAAATAAAACAGTCGTGACAGATGAAGCAATTAGCAAGATCCCTATTTTTTGAGTACTATACACTATAACAGTGATATCACAATTATTATTTACTGCAATATTTTATGTACAATCCTCTATTGGGCACATACAGATCTGTTCCAGTGGGATTCGAACCAACCTACATGAATACGATTCTTTTCAGGAGGTACCTTTCGAGTACCGCAGCACCTATTACTGCGTTACCACATTTTAAAATAAAACTTTTTTTTGTGGCACAATCGTCTTTATGTAAAGTAGTGCCGACTTAAAATTATGATAATATATGTAGATGTTGACTTAGAATTTATAGATTTTACTATTACGCTATCAAAAGCTTTTCCAAAATGTTCTTAATCTATATTAAACTGAAATAAGAACCAAAATTAAACTATTTCTGAATTCACAATGACAATTTATTACCTAATGTTTTGTGGATATTTTTAAATTTCCCCTACCTTTGACAAATAGTATGTAATTAGCCATTTATACAATTGTATCTATTTAAATGACGTTATTATTTCAAAATAGGGCATTGTTAATTACTCTAGCTTCTATACCCAGACCTTAAAATAATTAATCAGTATAATAGATGTGGTTTTAATTGCATTTATTAAAGAATTATGCCCAGTTCTCAACTTGTAAGTCGCCGCAACAATGAAAAAAAAAATTACGAATGAGAGTCATAACAGAACAATTAATTAACTTCAAGTCGGAGACATCACAATTCAATCTATTTAACTAGGAATGAACAAGCATCTCAATTCTGTTCTGTTTATAATAGTCACTGTTTTGTATTGAAATGTTATATTACTGAATAAGTTCCGAAAAAATTACAAATTATTTTGACTTTTGTTTTATGTTCTAGAACGAAAAAGACTTTGGTGTTCTATAAATAAACTAGATGAAAGAACTGAAAATTAAACGGAAATGTCGACTTTTGATGAGTTTTCGAAAAAATATGTTTTAATTTTTGTTAAACAAGGCAGCAGATTATGTTACTAATAGATTTGTATAAAGAATATCCGATGTTGTATGTTTCCAAAAATCAATTTTTTAATTTTTTATTACAGGCATGACAAAACAATTCTGTAAATAAAATTATATCTACTCTTAATACAATTATACTGTTCCATCATTTAAACTTTTGTCAATAACAAAAATCATATAAAGCAGTTATATTTTTATATGGTTGAAATTACCACGAGTGTTATAGGATAATAACATCCACCTCGGCGCATTATTATCCATATAACACCCTAGATACATATATTGCATAGTTGAATAACCCACACATATCCTCTGTATTTTTAAATTATAAATACGAGATTGAAGAAACTTAATAACATTTTAGTTTTAGAGTTCAACATGATTCAGAATTTAAAAAAATATTAAAAATAAACTTAAATAGATCCAAATATCATTTTACTTCATAAACCACAATAAGAAGTTTAGGCGTGATAATTTACAGGATGTTTCCATTTATGGTTGTACAAAGACCGTCAAGATAATAAGTACATAGAGAAAAACAAATGAAATTCGAATATTTTTTAATAAATCGGAAACAAAAATGAGTACATTTGGAATATATAACAGGTTGAGGACTTGCAAGTACACTATTCATTTTTATTAACTTAGGAAACACTGTTTTTTTAACCTGTGACGTTTACATTTATCCGTAGTTGTCAGTTTAAATAAATCGCACGGTAGAGACACTTTTAAGCGAATTTAAAACATATGACATGACCCATATTAACTTATTTACGTCCGCAAACTTCCCAGCGATAGTAACTTTCTCTTAACGGCGAATAATAAAAAATATATTTCACATTTTTTTACTTCAGGAAGCAAACTTTTACATTGGCGAGCGGCAAAAAAGAACAATCATATTGTTTGTTACACGCATAGTTTTATACACGCATAGTGATTCCAATACTTAGTGCCAGAGGGGTACCTATCATTTATATCGAAAAAAACTTCTATTAAAAATAAAAAAATAAATAAAATTTGAATTACCTTAATACTTTTTAAAAATAGAGGAAAAAAAGACATTCATATAAATCAGTCTGCAATAAATTTAGAATGTTCAGAATTTAAATCATTTTGAAGAAAAACGCATTTTCAAAGGATACACAGTCTTCATAAATGTTTAGAACCCACGTGACCGCCGATGTTGGTACTGATAACGAAAAATCCCTAAATCTTGTCGTCACTAATATTAATTAATAATAATTTAGTGTGGAATTTCTGTCAATTTATGTTTCTACACCCTGTATAGAAAGCGGTACAGAACTTTTGGGTAAGCCAATGAATTTAAATGTTTGCATTGCTTCAAGAAGTCCGGAAAAGATCCGGCTCGCTTTTTAAATACAGAGAATGAAAGTGGACGTAGTTTCTACTAAAAAAATTTATTCGGGCTTGATCAGTGCTATCAGAGACCGTCGCCGTCGGTCAGAGCGATGAGTTTCACATGCGAACCGTTCAGAGGCAAATATGCCGACGTGTATGAGAGAGTTTTCGGAGTGAAAGATGTCCTCTATGAAATCAACCCGGGAAAATGTCTGTGTTGTTTTCTTTACAACGGCATGGTTCAAAGAGTGTTGGATGCTCCCGTTAGACAGGACGACACGTGGTTGGTCAGTTTTCCTCGAACAGGTAACTTTGTTCATTTCAATTACAATACAAGTTAGCAAGATTAAAATTTTACTTTTGGCGGAAAAAAATTAATGAATTAAAATATGAAAAGATGTAAAGTCTTCCAAGTTTTGAACAACGAATATTCCTTGTCGTAAATTTCTCCACATTTTGAGTAATCCCAAAAATGTAGCTGTACTTATATGTAGAACACAGACAACATAGTTGATCACTTCAGACCGCGTGTTAAATGCTGCAAATTGACAACCTAAAAAGGATGCAGGATCTTGTTAGCTGGCATCCAGTAATAAAATTTAGCGTGGTAACTCTTCTACTCGACAATAGGAGGCAGTTCTAGCGGTGGCTTTGTTAATAATAATAACTGCCCAATAAATTTAATGCTTTTAATTATATAATTGAAGAGTTATATGGAACTTACAACTTACCTATATTTTGTTTGGAAATGACATTTGTGTTAAATGCTAAATAAAAATAAATCAAGTTAGAATTAAAACTATGAATTTACCTAATCAATTATTTATTTATATGGGTAAACACCTTGGAATGGGAGAATTCAAAAACTTGCAATTAATGTTTTTAGATTTGTGCGTCGATTTCCAATTTGCTACGATAATCACACTTATGTTTAAAAAATTGCATTATACAGATTGTATAAAAATGTAGCAAATCACATATTTTTTACTGAATATTCTGTATTTTATCATACAAAAGATTGCAGTCAACGTGCCAGTAGTTGAAGTTCTTCAGGAATATCGGCAAATTTATTTTGGAGGAACAATCCCGTCAACGAACACTATAAAAAATATTATTAGAAACCTTGGGTGGCCAGAAAATAGCCCCGATTTCAGTCCCTTAGACATATTTTTGTGGAGACATTTTTAGGTAATTCTCCCTATGTTGTTGTATAGGTTAGTTATAAAAATCGTTGTTTGTTATTTCAATAATAATATATTTCAATTTTTTTAATGATTTTTTACTTTAAACATATTTTATGCCAGCAAATTTTGATAATGTCAAAAGAAATAAAGGAAAAGTAGTACATTTGTAAATGTAATTAAAGTTTTTTCTATCTTAATTAATTAATTATTAAACCTATAAATGGGTATCAAAATATAAACAAAAACCCTATACCCACATTCCGCGACGTACTAATAACCCACCTTGTATATTAAATAAATTTACCATCATCAAATAATATAAAAATTATATTACAAACTGCTTAAAATATCATTACGAATTTTGTTCACTTGGAAATATATTTTCTGCAGTATTTCAATATCAAAAAATCAAAATGGTAGCTAATTAACGAAATTATGATTTAATAACCCAACTGTGACACCGCTGCAGAATATCCGATCTATAAGTTGACTACATAGGTATTGGTTCATTCTTTAAAACATTTTTATTAATACTTACATCATACATTTAAGTAAATACAGTATCGCAAAAAACAGACATTGATAAAAAAAAGTGTACAAAATAAATCCGTAAGTACGCGTGACAACATTGCCAAGCTGTTGTTTATATGTTGCTAGAATGCGCGTAGGAATGCGGGCCACTGCATTTGAGTCTGCTGGTGGTGTACTCCATCTGCAATTCGGAAATTTAAAACTGCTGTCTTATTCCAGTAGCGGTCTGGAACCAAGCTATATTGTCTGTGATAACTCCTCGACTTTTTAAAATATCACTTCAAGTTTGTTTTTCGATAAAAAACTACAACTGTGATCAGAACTGTGTGCAGTATAGCACACGTGAGAGTGAAACTATTATTACTTAAAAACCTTATTTCTGAGTGCAATAATTATTTCTTTTTCAAACCTCGTTATAGGATCAACGTGGTGTCAAGAGATGATATGGCTAATTGGAAATAATTTAGATTTCGATACTGCGAAAAGTACTTTGCAGCAATTCAGAGCCCCTTTACTTGAGTGAGTATATTTTCTTTTCACGCTTAAGCGGGGTGTAACTAAAATGGCCAAACTTTTATGGCGGATCATATCCTTTTGAATAAGCTACAAGAGGAAATTCAAATCTTTCAAATGATATTTTAACTATCTAATGATGATAACGACAATACATTTACATTTATTGTAAAAAAAGCACAAGTGCAGACTTTCACAAAAGGAAAGTGTACCAACAAGGCTGATTTACAACACTTCCTGGGACAAGAGTAATAGAAAAAATAAAACTTATAACAAGACGTATTATATTAAGAGTACGAAAATATAAGACGTGAGAAACTTGTTAATTTTTTTACAACCTATTACGAAAACAGTTGAAAATCGTGTTACAGAAATACAGATCTATAACAGTGTTTGTCAGGCGTTAACCAATGCCGCATCGTGTGGATGGTGCATATCGATACATTGAAAAGCATGTCTTCACTTGTGAAATATTCGACATAAACCGCAAATATCGTACCATGTGTACCTAGGTAATATGACAAAAAGGTAATATGACTAATTGTTGATAACGACGGTAATAAATTTATGGAATCACGATATACATAGATGAAATAATGTAATAATGTTTGGTTTTCCTACAATTGTCTTTTTGCAACTGGTAACAAATTATGTACATATTTTCTTTATCATATTTAATTTATCCTGTATCTCGAAAATTAAACGTTTTTGGACACATATTTAGAGGAAGATTTTTATTAACTTGTATGGTCAAGGAATTTAGTTGCACCCCGTATACTTATAATGTTAAAATGTCTCTTCATTAAAGATTATCCTAACATAAAGGGTGTAAGAAGTTTGACTGCCATTAACTCAGCATGAGATAGAGTAATCATAAATGAACAAAAAAGTTATATATTACAGGGGCGTAAGATTAACAGTTTTCAAAATATAACAAGTATTAATATTAGGGAGTTTCATCACAACGTGACAATAGCGCTTAACCTAACGCTAACGGTACATACCACGTGTGCACGCAGCAGACTTGTCCTACGGAAAAAATGTAAACAACTATTATTGTGAAACATTTAGTAAATTTCAAGACAATTGTTTTCCAGTTTTTAAGTAAATAAAATAGAATGCATCGATTTTGTAGTACGAAGATAGTGTTGTGGTTAAATTGTAGCTCGAATTTTGTTAATTATGAATCTCTTAAAACAGGAACTTAACTTTTAATCAAATTATGAATTTGAAAAATATGTAAAGTACCCAAAGATTCACGTCATCGAATTAATCATACGTATTAAAAATAATTGAGGTACTTACCAAAAAGCAAAATTCAGTAATTTTTAAACGCAAAAGTACAAAACAAACCACAACATATGCTCAAAATGTCCACCACCATTTTCGATGTTCGTACGACACCTTCGAACCCAATTTTCGCGCACTTACTGGAAAACGCCTCAAGAAAAGGAAATAGTGATACGCAAAAAACACTCAGACAGGGTCCAATTCCAGATATCAACTGAATTACATATTGCTCGATATGAATTTTGTCGCATTTTAAATTTATTACAACGCTATTTTTTTTAGAATTAAGCATAAATAAGTCCAAAAACTTGATAAACATTGCATTTTATGGTATTCTATGCACGCAGTTATGTCAATATTCCTTAATTAATCGAACTTTTGTGCATCAAATTGGAGATTTTGATAATTTTTTTCTCGGAAATGGTTGAGTTTAGGACCCATGTCATATAAAGTTTTTTTTTGTTTATTTTAATGTATTCTATCGTCTGTTAAAGTTAAGGCAATCAAATTTCTAACACCCTGTATATAAAACATATTTATCCATGTTAAAATACAAAATTAAATAAAAAACCTGTGGAAATTTGTCTTGTTTTAGATCGTCTGCAAGTTTGTATGAATACGCTGACCTTTTTAAAGAAAAATTCACGGATTCTGTGGAATATGTCAACAATCTCCCTTCTCCAAGGTTTATAAAAACTCATCTAGCGTATCCTTTGCTGCCTAGCGAAATTAGTAAGGTGAAGCCAAAGGTAAATATGCTTCCCAAACTATTCTAATTTCATTCTGAAGTTTGTATTTTTTTTTTAGATAATATATATAATAAGGAACCCTAAAGATGTGTGCGTATCCTACTACTTTCACAGCAAACTCTTGCACGGTTTCGACGTTGATTTCGAGCTGTTCTGCGAACTCTTTCTGAACGACGCCGTCTGCTACGGGGGTATTTTCGACCATTACCTGGAATTTTGGAACATTCGTCACGAAAGCAACATCCTCATCTTACGATACGAAGACATGGTTTCGGACACCAGAGGGGCAATAAAGAACATAGCCGAGTTTATGGAAAAACCGCTTTCCGAGAACGACATCGCTTCCATAGCGGAGTTTTTGAGTTTCAAAAACATGAGAAAAAATAGGGGCTGCAACGCGGAGCCTTTATTGGAGAGCAAACACGGACAGGACTTTTACAACAAGATCGGTGTTCATTTTGTGAGGCAAGGGAAAGCTGGGGACTGGAAAAATTACATGTCCCCAGAAATGGCTAGAAAGTTTGACGAATATATCGAAAAACATACCAGAGGAACTGGTTTGTCTTTTAATTAAGTGGAATGTCGACATTTACACATTATTCTTCGAGTGCTTTAAACATTTGTTAGTATCTCTACATTGCATGACTAGGTCCAGAAAGCGTAACAGTCCAAACGGTATCTGTTTTAAAAAGGGCAAAACGCATATGATCGGAGATTTTTGCTTTAACGGCTTCTAAATAACATCAGAAATTCATTTTTTTCTTGGATTTCTCATCGACAACTTAGCAACTATTCGTTTTAGACAAAAATGGAAGAGGAAAAAAGTTTTGATCAAGACAGAGTTAGTTGCAATTCGAGGAAATAATTATTGTTATTGCAAAAATCGGAAAAATCATTTAAAAAAGTGCAAAAAATTCTAGTTTATTTGTCAATTTTTTTCAGACACTTGAATAATATCTAGGACCTTCATACTTTTCCCAATTAAACTTCTTAGTGCATAGAATCATCGCACCAAATTTCATCCAATTCGGTTCAATAGTTTTTACATAATACCTATATTAAAATTTCTTTTTTTAAATTAAAAAATTTTCAAAATCAAATTTCTAAAAATCTAAAACCTTTAAATACTTAAAAATTTCAACACAAAAAGAAGAGCTCTCAAGCTTTAAAATGGTTTTTGAAAAATTCAAATCGGACGATTAGGTGAGCCGTGGTGATTGTTTAAACATTTTCGCAATTTTCACTCTTATAAACAATTGCAATAATTTAATGTTTTTTCAATTTTTTTTATTTTAAAATTTGGTTTGAAAGTATTCGAAAACACGAGTATTTAAAAAAAAACTGATGATCCGCTCATTATTTTCGGAGTTATAGCCCGTTAAAGTTAACCCTTATTTACAGCAAAACTATAAGGGTATAAGGGCTGTTTTTTGAACTAATAGTTTTGTCATTCCGAGTACTTTCCAGATATAAATTTTCAAAATTTGCAATCACGGGTGTCCCAATTAAAATGTCACTGAAATATATTCAAGACCGCGTGAAATCAATAAGTTATCAGTGGTGGGAGGAGCAAACACACAGCTACTCCGATCTGAATTCTCGAGTTCAAAAATGTTCTGAGTATTGCACCCATTGCCGAGGGCAAATGTGTAAAAATGCTTACAAAACAGTGAAAGTAGACGAGTTCGAAATCGATTTTGAAGAAGACATGTCAGAAGAAAGTGCAAGTGAACTCGACAATCAGATTTCAGAGTCGTTAGAAAATGATATTTTGCAGTTGCAGGACGAGGAAATCGACGACGAAATAGATTGTGATAATACTGATGAGGCATGTGAAAAATCACGAACTAGTAAAAGAATTAGATTAGATTAAATGTAAATAAAAATTGAAATAAATAGTTTAAAATTTGAAAAATCATGAAAAGTGTGTACTGTTTATTGAAGCATCCAAAAGATTCTTATACTTTTTTATATAAATAAAAAATACATTATAGATAAATATTTTAAAAGTAAACGAAAAAATTAAAATTATATTGACAAATAAACTAGCATTTTTGCAATGTTTTAAATGATTTTTCCGATGTTTGCAATAACAATAATTATTTTTTCGAATCGCAACTCTATCTTGATCAAAATTTAATTACAAAACTTTTTTTCCTCTTCCATTTTTGTCTAAAATTAATAGTTGCTAAGTTGTCGACGAGAAATCCAAGAAAAAAAAATTTTTTTTGCTAGCTTTTTATACTTTTTTGCAATAACAATTAATCCCACGTTTTTTTTATTTGCATAGAAATATTATCATTTCTGATCTTATTTAGAAGCCGTTAAAGCAAAAATCTCCGATCATATGCGTTTTACCCAACCCGAAACGGATACCGCCTGGACTATAACAAAAATTTTGGGGAGCGGTCATGAAAATAATAATATGATGAATGTAACTTTTTGACATTTTTTCTAAATCTCGATACTAACAAAGTTCTATACCTCAGTTATTTTTTACTGTTATTTTGCTATAACATTTTTCCGCTAAGAGGTTTTTTCCAAGGTAATATTTTGGGGCAATCCTAAAAAACGGATAAAATGTACTTATTTTACAGTAACAATGTAGCAGAATTTAAACAGAATAAAATTTTGTTTTTACAATTGTAAGAATTAATTAGGTAATATTTGCCCAATAGACTCTTTTAATGTAACGTCACATATTTAGGCAACTCGCAACAAATTGTCATAGCTGAAATTGTATATACCGAATTTGACCTTTGTGTACTACTTACATAGATGCTATAAAAATGAATAACTTCAAATTAATTCATTTTTACAAGAATTTAGATGTATTTAAGAACAACCAACACGTGTTGCGTATAATAGATACACTAATGTGCTTAAAACTGACCAACAACGATCTAAAAGAATATTCCTAAATTTAAATAAAATAAAAATTTAACATTAGCCGTGTTATTCCTAACATACATATGTGGAATTTAAAAAACAAATTGGATTTATAATAAATTACATTGAAAATAAATAGTTTATGAGAATAAAGGAATTTTTGTAAGAACAAGGGTGCCAGACGTGAACTGATCCCCTCGTCCCTTCATAATGTATAAAGAAATTATTCAATTTCTAAAACCCTTAGAAGCGTACTGCATTAGTAAAAATTAGTAAATTATTATATTTACATCCACTGAAGTATGAATAAAAAAATAATAGCAAAAAAAGGAAACAGCAAAAGAATTTTTTCTTTTTTTTTGTATAATTAAGTACAGTAAAATCTCATTAATCTATACTATCTATCTATACCTACTGGGTATCAATGTCCAAAATTTAACAAACATTATAGATGAACTGCACATATTCTTAAGTAAAAATATATTTGATATTTTGTGCATTTCTGAGCACTGGTTGAATGCAATTAATTTGCACATGATCAACTTAAATAATTATAATTTGATTTCTTATTATTGTCGAGTAAATAAACAACATGGTGGGGTTGCAATATATGCTAAATCAAATATAATTCTAAGAGCCTTAATGTTGGGAAATATTGCAAAGAAGTTCATGCTGAATTTTGTGCTGTTGAACTTACGGCGGAAATACGGTCTTGGTAAGCTTATACCGATTGCCACTTTTCCAATTAAGTGTGTGCGTAATAAATCTGGCAATGTTAGATGGTTCAGTGGAAGATTACGAGAGTTGAAGAAAACTTCAACTTCAAATCACAGTAAAAAGATTTTTAATTCCGACCCCAATCAAGAAAATTGGGCAGATTTTCGAACCATTAGAACTAGCTATAAAAAGCTTTAAAAACGGAAAAAGGAAATACTATTCTAATGAAATTATTACTTCTAGTAATAAAAATAAAACTATATGGAGAATAGTAAATAATGAGAGGAACAATTCTACATCTAATTCTGTGATTACTACTGGTCCAACTGATTTTAATTTATTCTTCACTTCGGTTTGTGATGCAGTCCAGTCTACTTTAGAAAGTATTAATGTTGATCCAATAGTATTTCTAAATAAAGCTCCCAAGCCAACGCGTACCGTACATAAGGGAGTATGGCCTGACACTAAAAATTACTAGAATTTTACCTGTACATAAAAAAGGTCCAATCCCATTATTAGTAAAATATTAGAAATTATAATTAAACTAAGGCTAGTTAAATATTGTGAGGATAAATCCATATTTACTAACCACTATACGGAATTAAGAAAAACAATAAAAACACTTTTGGAAATAGTGAGAAATGTGTGTGCACGAAAGCTACTGCTTGCGATCTCACCAAGGCGTTTGACTGTGTCAATGTCGACATTTTGGTTCATAAATTAGAGTACTACGGCATTGGAGATATGAGGATATTTTATCCTCATATCTGTCCAATAGGAAGTCTAAATGGAAATGAGTCAGGCCTTCTGCCTATTACAAATGGAGTCCCCCAGGGCTCGATCTTGTTTTATGTTAATGATCTTCCTTTCTCTGTTGGGGCGAGTTCTTGTGTGCTCTTTGCAGACGACACAACTCTTTTAACGAGGGGTTCTATGGAGGTGCATAATAATTTACTTTGTGCAGAGACCTGGTTTTCTCCTAATAAGTTGAAATTAAACATCGCGAAATCTCAAAGTTTGTCTAAGTACCAATGTTAAACTGCTTGGCATAATATTAGACACTAGACTCAACTGGTCCCGATTATCTTTGCGCCAAAATATCATCCCAAATATTTTGTCTGCGTCGGATTAAACAATGTCTCTCTCCTGATGCCATCCGAACAGTTTACTTTTCTATAATTCACAGTCATTTAACTTATGGTGTTATAATGTGGGGTAATTCTGCTAGTGTTAGCAGAGTATTTAGAGTCCAAAGGAAAACAGTCCGCAATGTTGATGGAGCTGAGTATGGTACTTCATGCAGGCAAGTATTTGTTAAACACCAGATTATGCTGCCTTGCATTTACATATTTGAAACTTTGTTGCATATTCACAGAAATGTGAATAAATTTCTTAAACAATCAGACGTTCATACTTACAGGACGCGATATGAGGATGTGTGTGTTGTTTTGAAATGGCACTGGTTCATCACCAAATAGCCAGTCTTTGATATGCGGATAATCTGGTGATAAGCATTCAAGGATTCAAACCATTGCATTATATAATGGTTTTAAGAATTATTTTAAAAATTGTGTGGAAATTTTTAATTTTAAGGAGTTTTATAAATTAACTAAAAAGTTCCTACTGGGACATTGCTTTTATAGGGTTGAAGAGTTTTCTAATTATATTAAATGTCCTTGACTATACAATATTTACTCTTTGTATGTAGAAATGGTCAATAAATTAACTGGTAAACTGGTATTAAATTAAGAAAACGTAACTTTTAATTGTTTATTAACAAAGACATTGGTACATATATACATACATATTACATTTGTGTGTGCATTTACATATATGTACATATATTGTAATGTTTTTATTTTTCTCTAAAATAATCTTTTATAAACATTTGTTTCTTTTCACTCAATCCTTGTTTAAACACCTTCTGTCGCAATTCCGCGGAAAAAATAACGCCGAATTACTAGACGT